TTTTAATCACCCTGTGTGACACCTGGAGTTATTATGGCTCATGGTATTGTTCTGGAGGTATTGTTATAACCGTCTATTGTCAACGCTCTCTGCTTTGGCTCACAGATCAAACTGGATGCAGATTATTTCTTTGTTTAGTCACCATTGCTGTGGAAAGCCCCGATTTGTCCACTGTTTAGTTAAAGGACTAGTTCAACATTTTGGGAAATACCATCATTTGCTTTCTTGCTCAGAGTTAGATGAGATCAGTACCACTCTTCTGTCTATGCCAGGGGTCGGCAACCTTTACTATCAAAAGAAGAACAAACAAAAAACCTGTCTGTAGCCACAAAACATATTTTAGCCTCATAGTAAAGGTAACACAGCCTTGTAAGTCAAATTCAGCCCAGCAGCATTACTAACAGACCTAAATGATCTGAATTATCTATATGTTTTAGCACATGGTGGCTACTCTGCAGTGGGCTATTTATGAATCTTTGGGACTTATACTTTGCAGTGTTGCCAGTGAAAGCAAATGAAATTGTCCATGCACTATTAAGTTCTCCATTTCTTCCTGATACATTTCCCCATTTGGATGTGGAATCCAAAGCTAGCCCAGCTAGGGAGACTCAAGACTACTGTAGCCACTGCTAGTGATGCTTTTAGAGGAAAGGCACCAGGCCAGACGTATGACACACATTTTAGTTCATGAAATTTTAAAATATTTTTTTAAATCGGTATATAGGCTGGGCATTTTTACGGTTGAGGAACGTAAGAATCACTTAAGGCCTACAACTGTAACCATAATTACTGCACAGATTATATTTCTAGGTTATTTTTGTATTATTTGAGTTACTGTGTTATTTATCAATGGGTACATTATTTATATTTAAGCAGTAATAGATTCAGCATTTTTGAGTTTCTAGTAAATTATTATTTTGTCGTCATTTATAGTGCTTTGTATATTGTATTTATTTATATTTGTATTTTCATGTGTGGTGTTGAAGTGGAGTCATTGTGTTCCCTTGGTTATGAGCTAACTGGTTCCTACCTGTTTTGGGGACAGGTATGAGTGGTACACGAGAGAGTGAGTGCCTCGTGCTTAACAGTGAAGAGAAGTTGCCATACCCCTAAGTTGGGATGTGTTAGTACTGTCTTGCCATGTTGGTAAAAATTAAACAAAGAAGAAGAAATGTTGTAGCCTGCTTGTTACCCACAGCCCAGAAGAACAGGGGAACACCTACAATCAAGAAAAGAGGGTTAAAATGAAAATTAAAATGTTGAAAATAAATATTCATGTCCATATGATTTTCTGTCAAAGCCCCAGGGAGCCACTGGAGAGGGGCTAAAGAGCTGCATGGCTCTGGAGCCACAGGTTGCCTACCCCTGGTCTATGCTAAATATAAAGCTACTGGCAGCACCCAGTTATTTTAGTTTAGCTTTAAGACTGGAAACAAGAGGAAACAGACTTGTTTACTGTGCAGTTAATGAAGATGTGGTTAACCTGTATGACTACTGAGGTGCTTTTATTGTTTATTTAAATGTTGCTGCTTCCTAACCCTTTCTGATCCACCTGCAAGTGGATTAAAAACACCTGAACTTAACAGAGATTTAACAGTTTTTAATGAAGCAAGTCACAAATTCCGTGTATTTGTTTTGTTGAGCGCTGTGAAGCATGGTCTGAGCGAATCAGCTGCATTTACATTCACATTATGTAACCCCACAAAGCTCAGGGTAGGGCTACATAAAACATTAATTATACATTTCTAGTCATAAAGGATTTAGACATGCTTACTCTCCTCCTGAGAGACATGGCTGTTTTATAATACACTGTGGTTAATAGACTGAGTTTCCTTCCACTCACTCACAATCCAAGATGGTGGGCGAAGTGAGACTCTGGTGTCGGATAAAAATGTTGTTTGTGAGAGTGTTAGTCCAGACCCTGAGTGCAGACACCTTCACCTTTCAAAGTTAAATTCAATGCCCCTCCTGTTTGGAAAAACCCAGGCATCGGAAAAAGTTAAAAAAAAAAAAAAAAAAAAAAAAGGCAAGAGCTGAGAAATGTTTTTTTTTAGGACTAGAGAAATGTATTGAGTCATTTAACAGGAAAAGGAACAGCAGTGTGTGCAGGTACACTGTTTGTGGCCCTCCGCCTCTCACATTGCCTCAGCCACACACACACATACACAAACACAGAGTAAAAACACCATCTCCCTCCTGATGTTTCCAGTCACCTCCTGCTCAAGGAAAGATTTAATGGTTTAATGTGCTTCACATGCTGTCAGGAGGCATTGCTCTGGGAGAACATTACCACAGCTTTATATAAACATTGTCCGTCTTTTCACTGGGACAGTTGAGTATTGCTTTATAAAAAGAAAAAGACACGGATTATGACTCAGGGTGTTACATTTATTTGTGTGTGCGCCTTGTGTGTCTGTAAAAACTTGCGTATTATGGGTTTTTCTCCAGGGTTAAAGCTTTATTTACATATCTTCTCTATTATCTAAATTTATGCTGTTATCATTCAGTTCATGTGGGGTATTCTTAAAATATAAAATGTTTCAGCTAATAACACACATACACACAAATTTGACTTCATCATTTTGAAAAAGGCAGCGAACAGTTACAGTGTGTCTGTTTGTTTCAGATTTATCCTTGTCTCTTTGCTTTGCCCACAGAAGCTCATGTCTCATGTTTACACAGCTGCCATCATGATCCAGTGTGGTACCACCTTGCAGTGTTGAAAGTAAATTTATAGTAAGACTGTAATCAAAGAGTAGAGACCCCAGCTACTTCAGCCAAAAGAGAGATGAGAATGATATAAAAAACTAAAATTTGTTACATATTAGTAGTAATAGTTTTGGTTTCATGTAATGTACTGTTCAGTTTCTCTGTGGGTTTGTGGTAAGAGACTGTTCTCTAAGGTAAACTGTTGGCCAATTTATTATTGCCATATTGTTGAGGCGTATTTTCACGAGTTGAATATTTTTTATATGCATTGTATTGGCTTGAGGAGAGAGAGGCAAAGGGCCTTTTGATTGGTTGCCATGGATAGGTTGACAAAAAATAAAACAGGAAGCACAATTTAACAAGATGCCATGTTAGTTGTAGACTTCAGTCAGGCACAGATATGCTTTGAGGTAAATGCTAACTTTAGCACGGCAAAATGCTAACAGTGACGATGCTAACACTCTGATGTGTAATGTTCACCATCTTGGTCTAGCGTGTTAGCATGCTAATTACTAATTAGCATTAAACACAAGGAATGGCATCAGTTTTGCAAGAATCTGGACATACACCAAAGTAGCCTATAGAGGATGTTAAGTTGCATCAAAATGATGGACATGGCTACCACGATGTCACCATTGGTTTGTGGATTCTGTTTTGAAGCCTCATGTTTGGCATTTCAGAAGTCACCATTTTGGTTTTTTTTGGAGCCAGAAATGACCATATTTGGGCGAGAGGCTGGTGCCATGGAGGAGCAAGGGGTGAATCTGACTGAGAAGCTGAGGGCACTATCTGCAGACAGTCTGTCACTCAAAGTGGCCCACCCTTAATTATGCATAACTTTAAGTCTCAATAAAATGTAAATGGGTGAGTTATATAAAAATTCACATCCCATACAGTTGTCATGAGTAGAGTGCCCCAGGAATGAGTCCTAAAACCCATTAATGAGTTAGCATTTTTACTCTGCTGCTTCCCTTGTGTTGAAGTCAATGGGTTTTTTGAATTGATTTTTTTTGTTAGATGCCTGAAATACAGTCTGTGGTTAACACAAGTTTAAGAGACTTTCACGTCTTGCTTACAGCATAAAATAAATAAGTAAATACCCCACTCGTGAACTGTGTAGCCTCTTTGTGTCTTTAAAAATGCAGTTGCTAACAAGTGGCTAAATGATACTACAGAACATCATCACACCTAACATGGCTTTACAGTCTTGTTATGGTGGTGACGTTAGGTCATGTGACAGTAGTGTAGTTCCTTTATACATTAGCTTTTTACTTCTGGAGATTAAATTCAGGGTTCAGTAATCATGAACGTAGAGTTAAATTGTGAAGATTATCTTGGTGAACAAACTGTGTACCATAAACATTAGTTTGCCACAGAGCTTATTTTCAGTAATGATGCAAAAGCCAATAAAAAAAAAAATCCCATGGACATTTTGACGAGGGTACCAGTGCGATGCTAACTTCTCCATCAGCTTAAAGAAAAGTCTCTGGGGCACTCTTTGTTGAAATTAGCTATAGTGACCAAAGCCTTATTTTTTGTACCAGGCTGTAAACATGTTTATTTCTGCTGTAAAGATGGACATTTTAACATGGGGAGTCTATGGGGTTTGACTGACTTCTGAAGCCAGCCTCAAGTGGCCATTAGAGGAACTGCAGTTTTTGGCACTTCAGTGTTGGCTTTATTTTTCAGCCTTGGAGGTTGCTGCTTGTTATTCTAGGGTCTATGGTCTAGACAGACACCCCCAGGGACTTGAAGAAAGCCAACAGCATCACAAAGGTCACCACTAAAACAATGAACACCACCTCCGTGTATTCAGTTTAGCTCACCTGTGACCGTGCAGCATATTAGAGGAGGGGGCTGGCAGCACAGAGAGCTGCTTGTTTTTCATCATCTTAGCCACCCCACAGACTGAGACAGAATGAGGACAAGTTAAAAGACGAGACAACAGGACTCCTTAAAACACAGCGTGATATGACAGGAGTTTTTAGTGGAGGAAGCAGAATTTACAGCAGGTAGGGCTTCAGTGCTCATGCTGGTGTGTCACTGAAGCAGTGCACATCTGTACTGACAGGACAGTAGCTGCACTGGGGACAGTTACTGTCCAGAGCTGAGATAAAATGTCTTAAGACAAATGGGAAAACTGCTGAAGCTGAACATGTCACAACCACATATACATTCATGTGGTTTCAGTCTTTTCAATGATAAAATGAATGACTCTGTTTTCACCTCTACTCTGACTTATTCTGTTTGTTGTGAGAATGCTCAGACTTGACAGCCCTTTGTGTCTGCAGCTCGCCAAAGCAGGGAGCCACACCTTCATGGAGAAAAGCTTCAAGAGGAAACGGGTGTGTGATGTCTGCAAGCTGAACATCGACAGCCCCGGGGCTTTCTGCAAGGGTGAGTCCGTGTCTCAGTCAGGTCAGAGACACACAACTGACTAGCATAGATACACACCTCGTCTTGACACAGATGAGCTCACCCTGACTGTCCTCTCCCTGTCTCCCTCAAAGCTGACTCTCAGAATAAAACATGTACTCTCCTTTCTGTGCACAGAGTGCAAGGTTGCAGTCCACAAGACGTGTGAAGCCAAGGTAAGCTGAATGTTTCCTCCCTGAATGCATCACTTTACCTTTCTCCTGTCCTAAGAAAATTGCTCCTGTGTCAGAGGTTCAGATGTTAATACGGTGTGAGTCTTAAGTGGAGTTAGCCATGTGCACTGACCTAGATGTCTGGTTAAGGAAAGGCCATCCCCCCCACCCTGAACTGCAACCAGCCAGGTTGCTATGAGTAATTCAGTCATGTGTTAACGTGGCATAGCAGGAGCTCCTCAGAGTCCTCAAACAACCAGGACGTCTCTGTTGTCTCTCTAATACAGACTGATATGAAGCATTTGTGCATATTAAAGAATAATATTTCACACAATACTCTGATTGTACCCATTAGCATTGTCTGTGAGAGGTGCTGTTAGGCTGACCAGAGGGGGGCAGTAGTGAGCTGTGAGCTGTCACGATAAGCGCAAGAGGAGGAGTAAACTACAAGATGCAGCAGCTCGGAGAGATGACACCACCAGAGGAAAACTGTCTGTGTGCTATCTGTCAGGTTGTAACAGATCAGTAGATGTGTGCTTTTATTAATAAGGAAGACATGCACAAAAAAGAGGGGCTTCTGAACTGGCTGGAGACAACTGGAGGCTACTTGTTTGCAAGAAATACGCTCGCACAACGGACAATCCTCCAATGGTCTGTTGGGAATAGGATCGAACTGTATTTGCGGCAATACTGTCTGGGCTTTTTGGCATTTTAAAGGTACACTATGAGGAAAAAACAATAGACTCATACAAATGTAATCCCTCTCAATCAACACTTATGGCCCACCAGAAATGTGTGGTGGTGTATTTTTCCTGCAAAGACGCTGCCCTCTGCCTGTATTGTCTTACTTTCTTCATTTGGGATGTTTATGGGCGTGTAGCACCACAGCCCTCAGGTGGGGTCGGGACTTTGTAAAAAGGTAGCGACCATCTGCCAGACTGTAGGCAGCAGGCATCTAAGAGACACAGCACAGAAATAACGCAAATATAGCGAGGTGAAACGCCAAACAAGAGTGAATCTGGGGTTGGCTTTCACTTTCACTTTTGCTGGTGGGCATGTTGTAACATCTGGTGAACCAGGTGAGAGCGCACTCAAACCCACGACTCTGGAAACACAATGGGTACATTAATGGTCTTTACTGGTCAAGGTAGGTTGGGTACACAGAGGGACTATTAGTGGAGGCAAACAAATCCAATAGGGATGGGGAACACTACACACAAGGTGCTAAGATGAACTGGCACTGAGAGAAAACAAGACACACTAAGAGGCCGTTTACACGTACACGGTGATTTTGATAAACGGAGACATCTTCCTTCGTTTGTGCCCTTCGTTTACACGCAAACGGAGATTTCTCCTCTGAAAACGAGTCTTTCTAAAAACTCCGGCCAGAGTGGAGATTTTGGAAAACTCCGGTTGCGCATTTGCATGTAAACTGAGATAAACGGAGATAAACGGAGTTATAGGCAGCCCACGTCACAGTATGCGCCGGAACTTGCGCCTGTGTAAAAAGTGCGACCTATGTTGCTATGGTGACAATGGATACATGGAAGGCTTGAGCTTCTCGTTACACTGCCACCTACAGGTTTGGCATGCTCTTGTGTATATATACACGGGTAAGTGTAAACGAAGATCTTTTTGAAAACGGAGATGGTGAAATGTCCGTTTATGAAAATAGCTGGCAACATGTAAACGGCCTCTACATACTCTGGTGAGGGGAAGCGTAACAAGACACAGGTGAGGCTAATTAGTGTGGAACCCTTTCGATGACTTCACACAGGTGAAGTCATCGAAAGGGAGGGAATACACACAGGGGCAGGAAGTGAGGTGATCTGAAACGTGTGGAGATGTGAGTTTCAAAATAAAACAGGAAATAATGTGAATGAATGAATGAAATAAACATAACCTAAGAAACTTCAGCTGTGACACATGTTTACAGTCACAGACAATTAACCGTTGACACTACTATTCACATCTAATATATGAGGTGTGTTAAAAAAATTAGCTTATATGTTGCTCATGCATTGTATATTACAATGCATGACCAACAATGTAAGCATTAGCTAACTGCCTAAAAAGTATATGTAACGTGAGATTAAAGATATTAAAGAGAAAAAAATACCTGGAAACACTTTGCTGCTACAGTGGAGCTCAACTGCAGATGTTTTCATGTGGTAAATGTGTGGTATTGTTGTCATTCCCTTAGAATCAAACAGAAATTCTTGTCACTGTTTTTGCGCTGCCATAAAAGAACAGAATTCACTGTAGAGGCAGCAGGGAAACAGTTTGGTCGACAGGCAGTGACCTTAATAGATGAGATTGCGACGCAACAGATTGCGTTTTGAGTAATTTGCCTAATCTTTGTTGCTTTTGAGTGGATTCTTTCATCACAAGAGGACATGATTGCATTGTGTAAGAGAGAGGCACTCTCCCTGTCCGCAGCTTATGTCAAAGCGTTGGCAGAAGCTGCTTCTGCTCTCCTGTGACCCCGCTCACAGCAGCTCAGTGTCACACACCACTGAATGGGCCCATGACCTTGCTGTAACTGTGCTGTTGTGCCTCGCTCTCCAACAGAACAAACACACACACACACACACACACACACACACACACGAAAACAGCACATTTGCACTTGGACACACTGCCTTCATTTCTCAGGTCAGCTCAAATCCTGCAGGATTTATGACAAGAGGGGGAAACTTTGCCTTCCTGCCTCCCCCTCCTCCTCCTCCTCCTCCTCCACACACACACTGTAATGGTGTACAACTGGGCACTACCAGCTGTTGTGCCTTAGCAGCATGTATTAAAAGAGGATTATTATTTTTGTCATACTCGTCCCCCTGGTCACCACGGCGATAGCCAAAAACAACCCTTGGTGGCTGCAATAGAGGCAGGCGCCGTGGACGAGAGTGGACATCGTCACACGGGACGATGATCAATCTGGATAGGAGAAGTCTGAGCGGGTAAATATAGAAAATAACAAGAGTGCCATAGATGCCTGCCAGTGAGTGATCGGTGGGAGGGTGACGCAAATAAGTAAGGGGCAGCTGGGGAGGCAGACCGTGTACATGTGTGTGTGTGTGTGTGTGTGTGTCTAATCAGTCCCATTTGGGGGTATTCATAAATAAAGGGGAACATACGGTCAAGGCTGCAGATTGGTGTCTGCTACATGTCACGCTATGCTCTCGCTGTATGTTTCTATGTGCTGCTCATATGTCAACATATTGCTTCCTTTCTTTTTTTACTCCTTTCATCTCTTGCGTTTCACTGTCATCATCTTTTTTTATCTTTCATCTCTGTTAGATTTCTCCTTTTTCCTGATGTTTTATAGACACAGTTAAAGCTTTTTCCACCTTCTCCATGGTGTTTTTTTGTCTTCTTTTCAAGTCTTAAATGCTTTCATCAGCATGTTATGCCACCTTTTTACCATCTCCACAAACACTAGTTTCAGTTCCACTTTTTTTTTGCATCCTTTATGCAGGCCATATAATTCTGCCTCTTTGTCCTGCTGCCACTTGTCATCTCTCTCTCAGCCTCAGGCCAGCGCAGAGGTCACTGGAGTGGACATCAGCACTCTGCGGGGCTGCCCAGTGTCTGCATGTGGTATATTGATGTGTGTGTGTGTGCACGTGCAAGGGAAAGCACTCGCGCAGTCGACGTGCTTTACTGTCTCTGGGCATATGACACAGGCAGAGCGAGAGGGGAACGTTATGTTGCATGTGCTGCTGGCACAGTGGGAGTGTGTGTGTTATCGTGAGAGAGGGAGGGAGGCAAAGGGAACGGGTGAGCGAGAGCAGAGAGCTTGTACGAGACAGAGAGAGGGAGGTAGTGTATCCCACTCTACAGACAGGACTGCTCAGAGGCAGAGGGAAAGACTGAAGCTGCTTGTTGAGAGGTAAAAACACGCTCTGTATTTACTCAGTGAAGCTCTGGCTTTAGTTTACTCATATATACTCAGCTCCTCAGTTATTAACTTTTCATGTACTTTGTGTATTTTGCTTTCCTATTCAGTGGCAATCTAACAACCTGAAAGCCTCTTCACGCACAGTGTTTTCTCTGATAATGCGGCATGTGATTCTGCATATTATTCCATTAAAGCTGTAGCCAGAGAGCACTGGCTGTGCCCAGAAAGAGGATTTCATTTACTGTGATTAAGGCAAGTGCAGAAAATGAAGAGGAGACTCCTGCTGTGACCTACAAAAAAATACACAGATTTTAATTTTTAATAGCAGAGAGTGAAAGATTTACTTTTTAATGAGATAGTTCACTATTATGTGCAGCTTGGCAGACTGTGGAAACTCTACCTAGTCTATATGCTACTATACATACCTGTAAATGTCAAATTATGTCAAATTTACAGCCAAGATGTGCCAGACTATTTTTGGGATGGATTAGATGTGTTGTGGGCATGTGTCTGTCTGTTTGTGTGTGCACTTGCAAGTGTCTGCAGACACCAGCGTCCTTCTATCTGCATGCACAACTTTTCTTACTTTTACTTTTTAATTACTCTGCACAACTCTGCTGTGTGAATGCATTTTCCCACTGTATCTCTTTACTGTATCTACCTACGTCAGCGCTATGTTTGTGTTGTGAATTGTGTACGGACAGGCATCTATGACCAAAGGGCACCTGACAGAGACAAATGGCTTTATCTGAGACACACTCAGCTGTCCTAACATCATCCGATGGATCCTAATGTTGCGTAGTGAAATACAGATGGCTGCTCACACACACAGCAGCTGTTGTGCTAATGTTTCATGCTGATTTATGAATTGATATAGCAATTATGATACTGTATGGACTGTGGGCTGATGTAATGAGCAAATTTCAACAATGTTCAATGTTGCTCATTAATCCTTGTTACTGCCAGTGGAGCTGGGAGAGTTTCTAAAACACCCCAAAGTTTGGTTTTTACTTATTCCCCCTTTGTATATACACTGATACTAATATATGTGCAGTGTGCTAATAACGGCTGATTTACCTCTCTAGCTCTTGTCCCAGTGTTG